TACCTCAATCTTCAGATATTTCAGCAAGTTCAGAATCCACACAGCTTGGCATGCAGTCAGAGCGCTTGTAATATATTCAACTTCACAGGTTGACAGTGCAACAACAGGTTGCTTCTTGGAACACCAAGAAATAGGACCTCCCAGAAATTTGAATAAGTACCAAGAAGTACTTATTCTGTCAACTCTATCTATGCACCAATTAGAGTGTTAATAACTCAAAAGTTTCGATTCTATCTTTCTTCCAGACGGAAATAACACTCCATACTTCAGAGTTTCCTTCACATACCTCAGAATCCTGACAGCAGCTTGGTAATGAGACCACTTTGGTTTACTCATAAATATGCTAACCATTCCAACTGCATAGAAAATATAGGTCTGCTATTACACAAATACCTCAGAGAACCAACCAACTGTTTGAAGGTTGTAGCATCCACATCCTCTCCATTAGAATCAGAGTCCAACTTCTGATTCGTATCAGCAGGTGTGATAGAAACTTTGGAATTTTTTAGCTTAAATCTCTTAAGAAGCTCAAGTTCATACTTCATCTGATGCAAAATGCTTCCTTTCTCAGAATACATAAACTTCATCCCTAGAAAGAAACTCATTTTCCCAAGATCTGTCATCTCAAACGCATTCATCAGAACCTTCTTGAACTTAGCTATTTCTTGTTCAGAACTTCTTGTTAGCAATATGTCATCAACATACAAACATACCAGAATCATATTACCTTCTAAAGTATGTTGAACATAAACACCATACTCCATCTCACACTTCTGAAACCCTTGTTCCTTGAAAAATGAATCAATCTTCAGATTCCAGGCTCTGGGCGCTTGCTTCAATCCATACAAGGCTTTGTGTAATCTGAACACCATCCCTTCCTGATTATTTTTCTCAAATCCAGGAGGTTGTGACACGTATACCTCTTCTTGTAATGGACCATTCATAAATGTAGATTTTACATCTAAAAGCATCAGAGGCCAATTCCTGTTAGCAGCTATTACAATCACTAGTCTGGTTGTTTCATGTCTCGTTACAAGTGCAAACACTTCAAAGTAATCCATCACAGGCTTCTGTAGAAAGCCTCTTCCTACTAATCTTGCTTTGTGTTTGCCAATTGATCCATCTGGCTTTAGCTTATGGTTGAAAAACCATCTGACGTTGATGGCTTTCTTGCCTTTTGGAAGTTCCGTCAGCTTCCAAGTCTTGTTTCTCTCTATAGCATCAAGTTCTTCTTTCATGGCTTGTAACCAAACTTGCTGCTTAAGAGCCTCTTTCGTACTCACGGGTTTATAGTTTACTAACATTGCACACTGAATAACTTCTCCTTTAGAGTCTACTTCAGTGTCTTGTAACATGTCAAACTCTACAAATCTTCTTGGGATGCTCCTGACTCTTTGTTGCCTCTGAACTGGAACTTCAGAACCTCGGACACCGGAACTTTCCCCTTCAGAAGCTCTTGCTTCAGAAATTGGACTTTCTCCAGAACCGTGACTGTCTTCAGAGTCTGGAAAATCCCCAGAGTCTGAATCACCATCGAAGTCAGAGTCATAGTCTTAACCAGCTTCAGAAACATGTGTTTCTGACTCTACTTCGGGAGTTCTCTCATCAGAGTCAGGACGAGACCTTTTCCAATTCCAAACTTCTGATTCTTTTACAATGACATCTCCACTAAACCCACCTTCGTTAGTTTCTGGACAGTAAAGTTTGTATGAACTTGTACTGCGGTACCCCACCAGTAACATTACTTTACTTCTATCATCCAGCTTCTGTCTTCTGGCTTCTGGAAAATGATTGTAACATACAGAATCAAACACCTTCAGATGACTAACACTTTGCTTATCTCCAGTCCACTTCTGAATAGGAACTATTTCCTTCAATTTCTTCGTTGGACATTTGTTGAGCACATAACATGCAGTGGCAACAGCTTCTTCCCAGAGTATGAGGAAGCTTCTTCTCTTTCAACATGTTTCTCGCCATATCAAGCAAAGTAAGGTTTCTTCTTTAAACAAGACCATTGTGTTGAGGAGTATAGAGATCAGTAACCTCATGCTCAATTCCATTCTCCTCACAAAATGTTTTGAATTCTGTGGAGTTATACTCACCACCATCATCAGTTTTGAGAATCTTCAGAGTCTGGCCACTCTGATTCTCAATCTTCAGTCTGAACTTCTTGAATTCAGCAAACACCTCGTGTTTTAACTTTATGAGAGATACTTGTGTCATTCTAGTGAACTCATCAACAAATGACACAAAATATTTATTCCCTCCAATCGATGCTACTGGAAATGGACCGCACACATCAGAATGCACTACTCCTAAGGCATGCTTTTCTCTTGGAGCTACTTCTGATGCAAATGATAATCTTGGTTGCTTCCCTTCCATGCACACCTTGCATGAATTCTCAGGCTTCTCGATTGTAGGAATTCCATGTACCAACTTCTTTGATTTCAGATGCCCTAAGCTTCTGAAATTCAGATGGCCAAATCTTCTGTGCCACAACTCACTCTCTTTGACAACACTTGTTGCACTAAGACATTCAGAGTCTGTAGTTCTAACATTCACCTTGAATGTTCTGTTCTTTCCCTGTTCTGACTCCATAATTAGCTTCTGATTATGGTCATACATTTTCAGAAGATTGTCCTTCATGGTAGTCGAAAAACCTTTCTCAATCAGTTGTCCCACACTCATCATATTGCTTTTCATGCCAGGTACATACTACACATTCTGGATCACTGCTGCTTTCCCATTTTTTATAATGACTCTGACATTTCCCATACCTTCTGCATTGAGGTATTTATCATCAGCACATCTGATCTTTGTACTCTTCCCATAGTCAAAATCAACTAACCATTTCGTGTTTCCAGTAAGATGGTTTGAACACCCTGTGTCCATATACCATCATTCTGATGAATTCATATTATCAGATTCAGAAGCCAACAATAGCACAGGTTCATCATCAGACTCTCCTCTGGCTATATTTGCTTCTTCTGACTTTATTTCTTTATTTGACCAGCAATCTTTGATATAGTGACCAAAGTTCTTGCAATAGTAACACTGAATATTCTTCTTGTCAGACTTCTCCTTTCTCTTATGGACATTCTTCTGCCTATCAGAGTTTGAAGCTTCTGACCTTTGACCACCATTAATTTTCTATCTGGCTTCTGACCAAGTCTACTTCTGATACTTCTTACTAGAAGTTACTTTCAGAGCCTGCTGCTCTACTTTCCTCTCAGAAGTTCTCGCAGTCATACGTAACATGTGCGCCTCTAGATTACTTTGCAGCTCTTCAACTCTCATAGTGCTCAGATCTTTAGAATGTTCAATTGCTACCACAATGTAATCAAACTGAGAAGTTAAAGATCTCAAGATCTTCTCAATGATCACTTGTTCAGAAAGAGTTTCTCCACAAGATTTCATCTCATTAGTGATCAGAATCACTCTAGAGATCTACTTAGAAACCTTCTCGTTGTCCTTCATGTTGAGATCCTCATATGTCTTTCTGAGAGACTGAACCTTCACCTTCTTCACTGATGCGTCACCACTGTAACATCTGACCAGTGTGTCCCACGCAGCCTTCGCTGTTTCAGAGTCAGCAATCTTCTCAAACACGTTTGCATCCACACATTGATGGATGTAGAACAACGCCTTCTGATCTTTCTTCTTTAGCATCCTCTGTGTTATCTTCTATGCCTCTGTTGCGTTTGCTTCTAACAGATCATAGTCATCGGTGATAAGATCTAACACATCTTGAGAATCAAATAGCACGTGCATCTGGATCTTCCAACGATTCCAGTTTTTGCCATCAAATACTGGAAACTTGGAATGGATATCGTCGTCGTTTTCGTTCATCTTCTACCTTGTGCAATTTACGCAGAAACTCAATAAAGCAGTATTTTCCAAATTCCCAGAATCAGAAACAACGATTTTCAATCACACAACAACTCACTATTCTCTCGTGTTTCCTGTAAATTTCCAACCTGAGCTCTACATACCAATTGTTGGTGCACAACAAAGAGATGAAAGGCAAAAGAAATATATTTAATGACGGCTACAAAAATAAGAAATAATGATTTACAATAAATTACATTGACCTACCTCATTAGACTTTTATACACAAAATTATGGTATAATAAAATCCTAAATATCTCTAACAAAGATATAAAAAGATCTAAAAAAATATTTCTAAACTATAAATTAATATCTAAAAAGATATTTATAAAATATAAATTAATTCCAACAGTGACAACATCGAAAAATTAAGTTTTGTGAATCATATATGTATTTGAAAAATCTTATAACTCATAACTTATAAACTACAACACTAGCTTATAACTCATAAGTTACGTATAATAATTTCAGCTAAATTGTTTGATAACTCGTAAATTATAAACACATTAACCAACATTTTAATATGAAAACAGTGTTTAGGAATAACCACTATGATAATTTAAACAAAGAAATATCATTCATATCAACCCATCTCAAAGAATAATCAAATTTCACTTTCTCTCGTCCCAAGAGACATTAATCCTTGATTATTCTAAACTAACTTCATTATTTATCTTACTTTAGTCACAATTTATGCAATTTAATTATCCAACTTGAAAAGAAAAGTTTCTTTTGTCCAAACTATATTTTGTCATAAATTTTCTATTGAACAAGTGGCTTTACCGTATCAGTAATTCCAAAAAGGAATGGAACTATATACTCAAAAACAGTTGTCAAATTTTCATTTGAAATAATAAACAAATATTTATTTACATGATTTGAATAATAAACAATTAGCCATGCCAAAAACATACAAATATATAGATTTCAAAGATGAAAGCAACATATATGGTATCCACTTTCTTCATATAGCTTAGGTGTCTCACTTTGTTCTAATCCAAAACAAACATAGCTTTAGTACTTTATAAGTTAACTGTCTCAACAACTTCTGTGTTTTTCTATTGGGAGAGAGTTCTATGAACCTTGTAGAAAGTGCTATAAGAAACAATAAAATGGAAGAAGTTGAAAGAGAACAAGAAGAAGAGCAAGAAGCTGAAATAGATCCAGAAAATAACAATCCCCTACATCAGACACTGATCAAGAGGAACAGAACATTATCTTCAAATCCACTTGCTCTTGTTGGTGAAAAAGTTTCCTATATAGAAAGCTTAGACTATGAGTAAGAACTCAAATAAAAGCATATTATTATTAATAATACAATAATATAAAACGATCATTTTTTTTTACTTTGTTTTTTTATGCAGGATCAATGAGAATGATTTATTCAAACATGGATGGAGAAGTAGATCAAGAGTTGAAGCATTACAATACATATTCTTGAAATGGTTACTTGCATTTCTTGTTGGACTTCTCACTGGTATTATAGCAACACTTATAAATCTTGCTGTTGAGAACATTGCTGGATACAAGTTTTTGGCTGTTCTTGAATACATCAATGGAGAAAGGTTAGATTTTAGAGCAACCTTTTTAGTTATTTTAGTTTTTAAGAAAATTTGTCTCAAAAAAAAGTGATTTTGCATTGATATGCACGGTACAGGTACTTGACAGGTTTCCTATATTTTGCGGGAGTTAATTTTGCCTTAACATTGTTTGCTGCTATTCTGTGTGTGTGTTTTGCACCCACAGCAGCTGGACCTGGAATACCTGAAATCAAAGCTTATCTTAATGGTGTGGATACACCAAACATGTTTGGTGCTACAACATTAATAGTTAAGGTAGGTAACAATGTTTGGTTGTCTTGTTTCTTACATTGCTCCAATTCTTTTAGTTAATTCATTTGTAATGTAGTGGAAATCTTTCACGCAATTGACATGTCGGTGACCGTTGAATGGTTGTCAAGATTTCAAGTTTGGCATTTAAAATTCATTAGAAATTATTATCCTATACCATTCAATTTCTAGATCCAACCGTCATCAATGTTCTAACTGTGTAAACTACACGAGTTTTTTACCAAATACAACTCAAATCCATTAAAATAATATTTTGGAAGGTGGCCAGGTGGGAAAATAGTTTCTTGGGATATTTATCTTTTTAGATCTAATCCTCCAGAGACAAATTCATTGCTTCCAATTATCTGGATGGATTATACTTCCAAAATTTATTACTTCTTTTATATTGAGAACTCAAAATTTTTTATATTTTAATATATAAATTTGGTCAACTTAATGTTGTTGATCTACCATAAAAGGAATGCAGACAGTTCTACTGATTGCGGCACTGATTTTTGCAATAATGCATATAATAATAGAGCAATTATGGTGACCCGGCAATGATTTATAATATGCAGAAAAAGGAAAATAAGCATATGGATGGATATTATGATACAAGTGTTGTTGAATTCAATCATTTAGTGCTTGCAATTTGTCTAATGAGTGACAAAATCATGAGGGTCAATAGCATTATCTAGATCCACTGCAGTGAAAGAAAACCACAGTACAAGCATTATTTCATGTAATATCTCATACATTTGTTTCTGTAGATAATTGGAAGCATTGGAGCTGTCTCAGCAGGCCTAGATCTTGGGAAAGAAGGACCCTTGGTACATATAGGAAGCTGCATCGCTTCCTTACTAGGCCAAGGAGGCCCTGATAATTACAGAATCAAATGGCGCTGGCTAAGATATTTCAACAATGATTGTGACCGTCGTGATCTTATTACCAGTGGCGCATCTTCAGGAGTTTGTGCAGCTTTCAGATCCCCTGTTGGTGGAGTTCTCTTTGCCCTTGAAGAGGTGGCAACCTGGTGGAGAAGTGCTCTTCTATGGAGAACCTTTTTTTGCACTGCTGTTGTGGTGGTAGTGCTTAGGGCCTTCATTGAAATCTGCAACTCCGGGAAATGTGGCCTTTTCGGTGCAGGCGGGCTGATCATGTTTGATGTTAGCAATGTCACTGTTAGGTATCATGTGATGGATATCCTACCTGTTGTAGTCATTGGAATCATTGGTGGGTTATTGGGAAGCCTTTATAATCATCTTCTACACAAGGTCCTCAGACTCTACAATCTCATCAATCAGTAAGTTATTCTTTATATACAATCTTAGTCTCAACATATCGCATAGCATGAAGTTTTAAGGTTGCGTAAGAACTGAAAAACTAATCACAACTTCATTTTCTATACTGACCACATGCACTACCTGATGAAGAAACTATTAATGTGTCCGTCGTTGTCAATGAAGTTATAAACATGCAAGTGCTCAAACAAGTTACATACAAAAAAAAAAAAAGTCTAAAATGTGTAATTTCCGTCCCTCTATTTTCTTTCACTAATAATTTTGGTTCTCCTATTTCAAAATCACGATATTATTTGTTATTTAAATCCACTATTTCAGTACCTCCATTTTTTAAATGTCTTAACATTTTCTCAACCTATCTATTTTGAGGCTGAATTTTGATGACATAACAAATGAGATGTTTATGTGGAACTCCGTTAATGACATCACCATGTCAGTGTGATTTTTTAATTAATATTCGTTTAATCAAAATATACATTAATTCTTATCACAAAAGCAACTACAATTGATGTGAAACAATGTTACAATGGATTCACACTTAGTAACTCATTTCCATGTCATGAGCTCAGTTTTGACATAAGCATCAAAGCTTCAAATCATTTTATATCAACCCAAAATGCATGAGTGGTGATCAGGAAATAAAATATTATGGAATTATTATAGAATATTATGTAATTACTATGGCATTTATGCCTCCTATTATATATAATGAGCTCCGATGTGTAATTCAAACACACGGATTCAATCCAACCTTCCTCTTGTTCTCTCATTATTCAACATGGTATCAGAGTCTAACAAGAGGCAACCCTAATCCGTGCTTTCCCGGTAGATCCACTATCTATCGGCGCCATTTTTTTTTCTTCGGTAACCGTGCTTCATCTCCGGTTTCCGATATTCCTTCTCAGATCTTCCTTTTTTTTTTTTTGGTCACTTCTCTCACCGTTTTTGGAATCCATGGCCGCCGTTCCCCCTCCAAGGGCTGAGGCCCCTATTTTCACAAGTTATATCACTACTCCTCTTGCCGTTGACAAATTGGACGGTACTAACTATGATTCTTGGGCTTCCGACGTCAAGTTATGGCTCCGGGGACAGGCCTATGAAGATCACCTCACTACGAAGGCTGACTCGGTGGCTGCCACTGATAGTGCTCGTTGGAAGAAAATTGATGCTCAACTCTGCAGTCTCATTAAGTCGACTATTAGTCCATCCTTGAAACAGATCTTTCGTTCTCATGAGACTTGCGAATCTGTTTGGGCACAGGCTAAGATCCTTTATACCAATGATACACAACGCTTATATGGAGTGTGTCAAAATTTGCAGAATATTATTTCCCCTCGTCACCTGGATGGTTCTATGGCTGAATACTTGGGTCGTGTTCAAGGTCTTCTTCATGATTTCAATGAATTATTGCCCCCAGCTGCTACCACTGCTAAGGAACTTGAACAACGTCGATCCTTCTTCATGCTTCTAGCTCTGTATGGCCTACCTCCAGAGTATTCGTCTGTTCGCGATCAGATATTGGGGTCTCCTACAATCCCCACTCTGGATACTGCATGGTCTACTTTGCTACGTGTCCCAGCAAAACCATCATCTGACAGCGGAGTCCCACCCACACCAGTTGATTCATCTGCTTTGGTTTTTCAAGGAGGTAATCGTGCTCCGGGTGGTGATCGTGGCCACTTTCAGAAGACTGGAAAGCCTCGTCCTAAGTGTGATCATTGTCATAAGCTTGGCCACACTATCGATCGGTGTTATGCTTTACATGGGCGTCCCTCTCCTCGGACTGCCCACGTTGCCCAGACCGCTCCACCTCCACAGGCTGCTACTCCGACTGATTCTGCCACCTCACCTGCTATCTTTAACGACTTTATCAAGTGGTATGAGGAGCGTCAGGCCGCTAGTTCCACTGCATCTGTTGCGCACACGGGTAATTCTTTTGCTGGTCTTTCTCACTCCACATCTCTTGGCCCATGGATCCTTGATTCAGGCGCCACTGATCACATTACTGGTAATAAATCTCTTTTTTCTTCATTCTCTACTTCTGGTTTATTACCCTTTGTCACATTAGCAAATGGCTCCCAAACTCAATCTCAGGGTACTGGTACTATCCACCTTTTTCCCTCGCTCTCCATTACTAATGTTCTTTATGTACCCGGATCTCCATTTAACTTATTGTCTCTAAGTCGTTTGACTCGATCTCTTGATTGTACTATCTCATTCACCAAAGATTCTTTTTTCTTGCAGGACCGGAGTTCGAGACGGATGATTGGCACCGGATGTGAGTCTAATGGTCTTTATCTTCTTCAACCATCTGCACATGTTGGTTCCGTGGTGGATTCTCCCCTCCTGGTTCATGCTCAGTTAGGACATCCAAGTCTTGCAAAGTTACAAAAGTTGGTGCCCAACCTTTCCAAGTTATCTACGTTATCTTGCGAGTCTTGTCAATTAGGAAAACATGTTCGTAGTTCTTTTCCGAGTCGTGTCAATCGTCGTTCTAAGTCTCCGTTTGCTCTAGTTCATTCGGATGTTTGGGGTCCTAGTCGCATTGTTTCCACTTTAGGGTCTAAGTATTTTGTTACCTTCATTGATGATTATTCTCGATGTACCTGGTTATTTTTAATGGAAAATCGATCGGAGTTATTTGCTATTTTTCAAACATTTTATAATGAAATCAAAAATCAGTTTGGTATATCCATTAGTACTTTGCACAGTGACAATGCTCGAGAATATTTATCTACTCAATTTCAAACTTTTATGGCTACTAACGGTATGCTTCATCAAACGTCTTGTGCTCACACACCACAACAAAACGGAGTCGCTGAACGTAAAAATAGACACCTAGTTGAAACCACTAGGACACTCTTACTTCACAATAATGTTCCTCAACATTTTTGGGGTGATGCTGTCCTTACGGCTTGTTATCTCATAAATAGGATGCCATCATCTGTCCTCAACAACCAGATCCCTCACTCTATTCTATTTCCTCACCAGTCTCTTCACCCATTACAGCCTAGAGTCTTTGGGTCTACATGTTTTGTCCATAATGTTAGTCCCGGGCTAGACAAACTCTCAGCTCGTTCTCATAAGTGTGTGTTCTTAGGCTATACAAGATCTCAAAAGGGATATAAGTGTTACTCCTCGTCTCTTCGTCGATATTTCGTCTCTGCTGATGTCACATTCTTTGAGTCAGTCCCTTACTTTGGGACGTCTACAGGGTCTGAGTCCCTATCACCCATGTTTTCTTCATCTCCCACTACTGTCCCACCAAACGTAGTTCTGTCTCCTTTACCAGCCAATCCACCCCCATTAGCTCCTTTGCAGGTTTATCGGCGTCGACCACGGCCACCTCCACTACCATCAACTAATGCAGAAATCACCATAGACTCCCCTCCGGATCCAACTCCTTCGTCCCCTCCGGTCCTGCCCCCTGAGACTGATCTCCCAATTGCACTTCGCAAAGGTATACGTTCCACTCGTAATCCATCTCCTCATTATGTTAATTTGTCTTATCATCGCTTGTCTTCTTTGCATTATGCTTGTATTTCCTCTTTGTCTTCTGTGTCTATTCCCAAGACTGTAGGTGATGCTTTATCTCACCCTGGCTGGAAACAAGCTATGCTTGATGAGATGTGTGCTCTTCAGAACAGTGGCACGTGGGACCTTGTTCCTCTTCCTCTTGGAAAATCTGTTGTAGGTTGCAGGTGGGTTTTCACAGTCAAAGTTGGGCCTGATGGACAAGTTGATCGTCTCAAGGCACGTTTAGTGGCCAAAGGTTATACACAGTTGTTTGGCCTAGATTATGGTGACACCTTCTCTCCCGTGGCTAAAATGGCCTCGGTTCGATTATTTCTCTCTATGGCAGCTATTCGCCACTGGCCCCTTTACCAGCTTGACATCAAGAACGCATTCCTCCATGGTGATTTGTGTGAGGAAGTTTATATGGAGCAACCTCCTGGGTTTGTTGCTCAAGGGGAGTCTTCTGGACTAGTTTGTCGTCTTCATAAGTCTTTGTATGGACTTAAGCAATCTCCTAGGGCTTGGTTTGAGAGATTTAGCACTGTTATTCAAGAGTTTGGTATGACGCGATGTGAAGCTGATCATTCAGTGTTTTATCGTCACTCAGTTGTTGGGTGTATTTACTTAATTGTGTATGTGGACGACATTGTCATTACAGGTAATGATCATCATGGAATCACACAGGTAAAACAACACCTTTGTCATCATTTCCAGACAAAAGACCTCGGCAGACTTCGTTATTTCTTGGGCATAGAGATTGCCCAATCCAAACAGGGAATTGTGATTTCACAAAGGAAGTATGCTATGGATATTTTGGAGGAGACATGTCTGTTAAATTCCAAGCCAGTTGACACTCCGATGGATCCCAATGCTAAACTTATGCCAGCTCAGGGGGAGCCACTCTCCGATCCTGGAAAATATAGAAGATTAGTTGGAAAACTGAATTACCTCACTGTTACTCGCCCAGATATTTCATTTCCTGTTAGTGTGGTAAGTCAATTTCTTAACTCTCCTTGTGAAGGGCATTGGGAAGCTGTGATTCGCATCTTGAAATATATTAAAGGAGCTCCAGGAAAAGGCTTACTCTATGAAGACAAGGGACACACTCGAGTTGTAGGATACTCAGATGCAGATTGGGCAGGTTCTCCTTTTGATAGGAGATCCACCTCAGGTTATTGTGTTTTCTTGGGTGGTAACTTAATTTCCTGGAAGAGTAAGAAACAAAGTGTAGTGGCAAGGTCAAGTGCGGAAGCAGAATATCGAGCCATGGCAACAACAACCTGTGAGCTTGTATGGCTTAAACAATTGCTTCACGACCTGAGATTCGGGGATGTTTCACAAATGACACTTATTTGTGACAATCAGGCAGCTCTGCATATTGCATCAAATCCAGTGTTCCATGAGAGAACCAAACACATTGAGATTGATTGTCATTTCATCAGAGAGAAGATTTTATCTAGAGATGTCAGCACTAGTTTTGTCAATTCAAATGATCAGTTAGCTGACGTTTTCACTAAGCCTTTGAGAGGTCCTCGAATTAATTATATTTGTAACAAGCTTGGTGCATATGATATATATGCTCCAGCTTGAGGGGGAGTGTTAGATATCGGAATATTCCATATTATGTAAATAGAATATTCTGTAAGTAATTAGGATATCATGTAAATAGGAAATAAAATATTATGGAATTATTATAGAATATTATGTAATTACTATGGCATTTATGCCTCCTATTATATATAATGAGCTCCGATGTGTAATTCAAACACACGGATTCAATCCAACCTTCCTCTTGTTCTCTCATTATTCAACAAGTGGAAAGAAAAAAACGACAGTAAGGGACCAAATATGTGGATTTTAAAATGGAGGGATCAAAATGGTAAATGAGGCAAAATAGGGGGTCAAACCTACATTTAAACCCAAAAAATGAAGAAAACAGAGAAAGAAAATAATTATGGTGTCAAATGAAGTAAACATGTATTGTTGTCAACACAACCAAATTTGGTAATATTTGAATTATATAACTGAGGGGGCATCTACCTCTGATTATTGCAGGAAAGGAAAAATACATAAACTCCTCCTAAGTCTTGCAGTAGTACTCTTCACATCCGCATGTCAATATGGTCTCCCATTCCTAGCAAAATGCACCCCTTGTGATTCATCTCTTCGAGACGCAGAATCAGTTTGCCCCACCAATGGAAGGTCCGGAAATTTCAAACAATTCAATTGCCCACCTGGCCACTACAACGATCTTGCTACTCTGCTGCTTACCACTAATGATGATGCTGTTCGGAACATATTCTCAACAAACACACCTCATGAATACCAACCCTCCTCCCTCATAATTTTCTTTGTGCTATATTGCATATTAGGACTTTTTACTTTCGGAATTGCTGTGCCGACTGGACTCTTCCTCCCAATCATCCTTATGGGCTCGGCCTACGGCCGTCTTCTTGGCATGATCATGGGACCTCATACAAAAATCGACCAAGGATTGTTTGCTGTACTTGGTGCAGCTTCCCTCATGGCTGGTTCGATGAGGATGACTGTGTCCCTTTGTGTGATCTTCCTTGAACTTACTAGCAATCTTCTCCTACTACCAATAACAATGATTGTTCTCCTAATAGCCAAAACTGTTGGAGACTGCTTCAACCCTAGCATCTATGAGATTATACTGCATTTGAAAGGCCTTCCTTTCATGGATGCAAATCCTGAGTCATGGATGAGAAACCTCACTGTTGGCGAGCTTGTAGATGTAAAGCCGGCAGTGATTTCCCTCCAAGGAGTAGAAAAGGTAGCAAAGATAGTAGATGTATTGAAAAACACTACACATAATGGTTTCCCAGTGATGGACGACGGGGTAGTGCCGCCAACAGGACAGGCCAACGGAGCAACAGAATTGCATGGACTAATTCTAAGAGCACACCTTATCCAAGCATTAAAGAAGAAGTTCTTCTTGAAAGAGAGAAGAAGAACAGAGGAATGGGAAGTGAGAGAGAAATTTACCTGGGTAGAGTTGGCCGAGAGAGAAGGGAAAATTGAAGAGGTGGCTATAACCAGAGAAGAAATGGAGATGTTTGTTGATCTACATCCTCTCACCAATACAACTCCATTTACTGTGCTAGAGAGCATATCAGTAGCAAAAGCAATGATCCTCTTCAGGCAAGTTGGACTTCGTCATCTGCTTGTAGTTCCGAAATACCAGGCATCAGGGGTAAGCATATTTAACACGAATTAGAAATGTTATATTATTTCCTAGTAGCATATGAGGGGCAATTATACTCACGGATAATATTAATTATTTGAAAATGAACATATATGACAAACCTAATCATGTGATCTCACAGGTATCCCCTGTTGTTGGGATTTTGACCAGACAGGATCTATTGGCTTACAACATTCTGACAGTGTTTCCTCACCTGGCAAAATCTAAAAGCAGACAGAAGAGAAATTGAAGCTTTCCTAGTCACTGAATGGCCGGCAATTTTCTCGGGACAAGTTGGTTTTTTTAAAACCATAAAAGTTATTCCTCAGTTTTGTATTCTTGAATCAATACTTTGGAGATGGATGTGATACAAATGTGATGAAAAACTATATCCATTAAATTATTTCTATAGAATTTATCAAATGATGAAATAAATTCCCTTTTTCGATCAGTACAAAACATGAGACTGCTACTAAATTTATCAGTTTCTTTCTTCGACACAATTTGATGGTACTGACTCGTGTGCTCATTTATGTTTAGCAGCTCCTTGCGAATGTTTTTTCTTTTTCTTTCCTGGTTTCTTTTTCTGAGGGCCCCTCTTGAACACTGCCAGAATTTCAACGCTGCAAACAATTGGCAAGTGACAAATTAATATCTTTACTAGCTTGGGGAGGAGGGGAACCTATAATAGTATACCCAATTAACCGCACAATGTGTCCAAAATTTATTTATATAGATAAAAACTACTATAAAATATTAACTTGAGGAAAAAACTCCATGAAATGTGGCATGGATTATATGTATAGAATACATTGCATGGAGATGGGAAAAACACTGTCTTTCGGAACTGAAATTAAAATATGAACTAACAATTAGTGGTCAACTTTGTTACATTGGTTCAATGTTTAGAGTACAGACACAGCCTGTAAGCCGTAAGGTTTAAATAACAAATTTAGGTTGCACAAGCATGCCTTTCAGGCATAATAATAGTATATCGTAGTGTTATCTTGAGAAAAGAGAAGACTGTAAACGGTAGGGAGTGCTCACTTGTCAGTACTGTTAGAAACAAGTTGAGTTCAAAATATACATCTTACCTGCCCAAATGCAATATTAAGTTTCCCAGGACTCCCCATTACTCACATTCTTGATTTAGTGATTCTTAGAAATTGGGTTGGGTCTTACTACACTCCCAAAATGGCTTAAAAGGTCACGGCTGCTCAAGCATTATAAGCACTACTGACGCATTTTTTGGACAATGTGGCACTCTCAAATCTCACTCAATACACCCATTCACGCACAAGATGCACAGATTAAGCATGGACTAATGTGGATGGGATAACAGGGATCTCAGCACACCTTCACGTCCAAGAGAAGACATATGGAGCATGCAGCCGAATAACAAATTCAGGATAAGCTTTGATTTTGATATCATCTTAAAACTTAAGGTGATTCTAAAATTCTAAATCAACCTCACAACACCGGCTTGTAGGGTGAGGACAGTTCAAACCTTAAAAGCACTACGTAGGTAAATTATCTCTACATGATGTGGGACTCTCAACAGACATCCTCTCATACACAAAAGACATTTAAAGTGTGGACTAATGTGGGTGGAACAATAGGATCTTAATAGTAATATTGTTTCACAGGTCTAACTATCTGAATATGCTCTCCCCCATCTGCAGACTCTACATCAGGTCAAAAGCTCTCCCTCATTCTTTCCCGCACACACCAAAACACAACTACACCTGTGATTATGCACCCAAAAAATAAAGGAAAATAGCTATCAGCGTGATGACACAGTACAGTTTACTTGCATGATCTTCAGAGAAACTATTAAGATGTGGTTGGGCCTAATTCAATCCTACAAAACCGGCTTGTAGGGTGAGGATTGCCCCCACTTATAAACACATGTTCAGACCATATATTGTCCGATGTGGGACTCTTAACACACCCCCTCACGCCCAGGACTAGACAACTGGAGCGTGGAAATAAATGGTGGATGGCCCACTGGATCTTAGACGAGGCTCTGATACCATATTAAGATGTGGTTGGGCCTAATTCAACCCTACAAAACCGGCTTGTAGGGTGAGGATTGCCCCCACTTATAAACACATGTTCAGACCATATATTGTCCGATGTGAGACTCTTAACAGAAACCAAAGAGTATAGAACGTTCAAAATATAAGTGCTATAAAAAACTAGGTTAAAATGTATTTTTGTTCCTTTATCTAAAATTTTAGTTTCAGTTTGATCCTGTAAGTTTTAAATGTTTCAATTGGGTCCCTTATCTTTATTTTTGGTTTCAATGTGGTCCTCACCGTTTAAATTGTGTTATAAATGGACCACATTGGTATACCTTTTGTAAAATAAGGAACCATTCAGAAAAGTAAAAAAAAAAAGGGGACCACATTGGTGTAACTTTCACATACTAAGAGATCGTTTCAGAACAAAAATAAAATATTTAGAGACTCAATTGAAACTAGTAAGAGTCATGGACCAAACTAAAACTAAAAAAATATGATACCTAATTGAAACTTCTAATCGTAGAGACCAAACTAAATCTAAAAAATATGACAGGGGGACCAAATTGTACTTTTGCCTAAAAACTATATAAAGGTTGAAGTTTACAAAGCTGAAATGCAAATAGAATGAAATTCAAAGAATAACGTAAGAAGGAAAATTAATTAACCCCAGAAATTTTTTTCAAGAATAAAGATTGTAAGATTTAATAAATACTCGAAGTATAGATAAACAAACGGTGCAAATTTAAAGAAAAAATACCTTCGAGTACCAGGAAAAAAATTAAAACCATGAGCTTTTTCTAAATACCATGCCTTACTTGACAATAATGACTTGCAGTCCTGTCAGACAGCAACTTTTAGAGTTAACATAGAGAATTCATGTTTGATAAAGTTGTCAGACAGCAACTTTTAGAGCTAACAAAGTGCATCCAAACAAATATGAGCCTGGAAATACCTCTTTAAAACTTTCCCACCCACAACTTATATAAATAAGGGTTTGTGGCACCAATGGAGTAATGTTTGCTTCAGGTAATTTGCTTCTAATCTGGACTGAAGCTTCATTAGCACGTAAAACCCATGGTCTTTTCTCTTCTTGGAATGAGTTTGGGCTGCAGTAAACATGCACTAAATCAGACACTGACAGAGGGAAATATTTTCGAATTGACCAAACTTGATAAGTTCACAAAATAAACAACCGTTCAGATGATGACAAAGCTTTGCGGACCACTAAGGATATATTCTTCAATGCATCCATAAGAGATGAATCCAGTCCTTTTCTAGGAGGATCAATGACTATAACATCTGAGCCCACAAGCCACGAAAAAGGATCCTGTTACTTGCAAAGGATTCATACAATGAGTTTCAAATAAGACAAGAAAAGAAAAAACTATGAAACACAATGCTTTATATCGTGGACAAAAATTATTTATCCTTTCTGTAATATTTATCCTTTTCATATTAAATTAAAGCATGAATATATGACGAGGTTCAGCTATCCAGTACTAACTTTTGAAGCATCTGCATGATGCCAAGTGATGCTGCTGTTAACGGTGGCAGGCAAGCGTCCAATTGTCTTCTCAAAAGATACCTTTGACTCTTTGTTAATCTCAACGCATTTGATGGATCTGTAAGACAACTAGAAACATAAATCTTCCAAATCAACTATGTAACAGAAATTTAAAAAATAAAATTTTGGAGGTTTAGAACCATCAGGTCTTGCCTGCACTTTCTTGTGGCAGCTAATGATAACCCAATGACACCAGCTCCAGCATACAAATCAGTAACAGATGATTCATATGGAACATATTTCTGTAACTTCTGCAGCAAGGAGTCAAAAGCCTGATAATATAAAGCAAGAAAGACGTATCAGTTCTTTCATGGTTCAACGGCATAGCAACCCTCAGTGGTATGAGAACACTTGTCACTGGTATGCACATTTATTAATGTGATTTTCCTTTTCGTTGGATAATTTCAGTTCACAGGCAGCTAAAAAGTAAAAACAGATATCGTATTCCGTCCAGATTACCGAGCCCAAATATGTAGGTCAATTTCAAGGCCTATTTATCAATGATCCAGATCAAAGGTCCGGACCAGGGAAGGTTTATACCATAAGGGATAGAACTGGGAGCACAATAGTGAATGCCAGAATAACTTACGGATTTAGCAAGTTAGTTTTGCTAGAACGGATACTCGTGTATAGGAGATGGTTTTAGGCTGGGAGGATAGAGAAAAATCATTGCTAGTATGACTCAGGTTGGTTTCTCGGCTGTACGCTTGGGCAGAAAATTTTTCTCTTTGGAGTCATTTTCTTTACAGCTACTAGTTACTAGTTAGTGATAATAAAATATTTCACGTTGTTTCTGGTCTCCCTCACATACAAATTCATGATACTCATTTCATTTTGATAATCTGAGACTATCATACAATACTCTTAGAAACAAAAGAAGTATTTAAGTAATAAGTTAAAACTAGTAAGACATCTTCTAAATATGTTTCTAACACGTACTAGAAGATTTTTTTTTCATATATGCTCAAATACTCCTTGATGTAGCTAGACTATACATGTGCATGTGAGTATGTATGTATGCATGTAAAAATCGAAATTTATTTATTTACATGTATAGTGTATGTGTGAGAGGTTGGTTTTGGGGCCTTGTGGCCATGCTTTGAGAGGAACTAATTCGAAAGATTTATTAAATGCATATCCAAAATATGAAATGTAAAGATCCATTTAATTAGAACCTTTACCCGTGTGTTTGCCTGACCAAAACTAGAAGGGGCTAATGACACATCAATCCCACCAACACGTTCCCAAAAATCTCTCTCTCCAAGAAGATGTCTCCATCTATTCCCAAATATTATCTGCAACATCAAGTAAACCTTTTTCAAAAGTATATCTTTTGATAGAAACAATTGCACAAGCATAGTGTCATAGATTGACCGGAAAAGCTAGGAAGATCTGCATAAAAAAATCTTAGAATAAAGTAGCTTATTTTACATAATTATTAAAATGGATATATCAAGTTCCAGGGTCTCAGCATTCAAAGATTTCTCTTCAAACATATATTATCAACATCATTCCCCTAAACCTCCAGTTCATAAGATATCTTTGCAAAATCAATCAAAATTATCATTTGCAAAATCAATCCAAATTATCATCTGTAAAAGCAATCCAAATTGCAAAGTCCAACTTTATATTCAGTCACATGTATAAAACTTAATTAAGACTATATGCTCTCTTGTAACTTGTTTCTCCATCAGTCATGAGATGTCACCCCCAAAAAAACTATTACTATAAATCAACAATTTCCATGACTTAAATTTACAGCATCAAAATGATTTGCATTCAAAACCAGTTCACGAGCCAAGAGCCCTCCCTCATAACTGCAACTTCAAAATTGACCATCCCTGTATGACATGCAGCGTATCGTTTTCCATTTTAATCAAATCTAGCCATTCATTTGTTTCACAAGAACAGTTTAAACTCACATTTTTATCAGAAGTCTGAAAGTTGGCCCACACAGAATGAATTAAATGAAGCCTGCTCTGTGGCCCACCATTTTCCCATAGACACTGCAATCAATCAAATGAACCGTCACATTTTAGGATAAAAGGTGATAGGGTACTATAGCAGATTATATGATATTGTGAAAGAAATGGCAAGAGAGAATAAAAGCAATGCAATTGTATTCAATAAAGGAGTCACAATTACATGTAAATGAGAAAGAAAAACGATGCAACAAACTGATAGTGGAATACCAGCCCTAAGAAGCACGTATGCCTCTTCCCAAATCACCTAGAGATGACCCCACAAAATCATAACACAATTCTTAGCTGCCTTCTCTCCACCTCCACTCACTCCTAATATATCATTTTCTCATGCTACTCATACATTCTTAACCACGTCATCATTTCCCTTTCCTTTTGTCTTTTTCCTCGTATAAACCTTCCACGCCCTTGGCCCAGACCCATACTCAAGGCCCACACTATTCACCATGTTTCTATCAACTCCCCCCTCCTTAGAAACAGCCCTGTCCTCAAGGCAGAATTCAGGAAATTGCCCAACTAGAAGTTCATTGTCCTCCCATGTCACATCATCCATGGACCGATTCTTCCATTGGACCAAGCTCTGCTGCACTTCAGTATCTCCTTGCAAAACAGTTCTAGAACCCACAATCTTGTCCGGATACACATCAGCAGCCTCATTTATCTCCAATTCTCTAGGCAGTTCACCTTGTACCTGATAGTTTCCTACTGCTCTTTTGATTAAAGATACGTGGAACACTGGATGGATTTTTGACTGAGCTGGAAGTTTCAACTTGTATGCGACTTCTCCAATTTTCTCTTCCACCGGAAAAGGGCCATAAAATCTAGCAGCCAAATTCTGATTAATTCTTTTCACCACTGGATAAGGCCTGAGTTTTAAGAAAACCCACTCTCCAAAACATAAATCTCTTCTTTTTTTGTTGGCATGCCTTGCCGTCTGCTCCTGAGCTTTCAACAGCTGCAGCTTGAGTTGCTTCAAGGCTTCATCTCTCTCTCTTAACTCAAGTGCCACAACAGCTACTTTAGTTTCATTAGTTAAGAAGTTCAATAGAGTAGGTGGCTGCCTCCCGTACACCAAAATTCAGCCCACGGTATCCAATACGACCACGTCTTGGGATGGTCAGAAGCAAAGCACCTCAAGTAACTCTCCAAACACCTATTGATTACTTCCGTCTGACCGTCGGTTTCGGGATGGTAAGATGAACTCATCTTAAGCTTGGTTCCTTGCATTTTAAATAATTCCATCCAAAAATGGCTAATAAAAATAGGATCTCTGTCACTGATTAGGGAATTTGGAATTCCATGTAATCTCACCACCTCTTTGACGAATAACTCAGCTATGGATTTTGCAGTGTAAGGGTGTTTTAGCAGGATAAAATGGCTGTATTTGGACAATCTGTCCACCACCACCAACACAGCTTCATATCCTTTAGACTTAGGCAAACCCGTGATGAAGTCTAAAGAAAGATCCTCCCAAACCGCATTAGGTACCGGCAGTGGTTGTAACAATCCTCCAGGAGTAGTAGCATTGTACTTCTGTCTCTGGCACACATCACATGACCTCACGTAATCTCTTACACTCTTCTGCATCCCTACCCAGTATAAAGTATCAGCCAGCCTCCTGTATGTCCTCAAAAACCCTGAATGTCGGGTATTATGGAATTCTTCTAACAACCAAGGTATTGAAGGTGATGTTGGTGAGATCACCAACCTACCATGATACAATAAAACTCCCTGTTTCTCATAAAACCCAGGTCTGCCATTTCGTTTCTCTCGTACTTCGGTTATCAATCTTTGAATATATGGGTCATTGGATATCTCCTCCAACAGTTTCTGCCTTTCGTCCCACAAAGGATATGAAATGATGGTGTTCAATTCTCCCTCATCATAGCATCTGGATAAGGCATCTGCTGCCCTATTTTTCATTCCCGGTTTGTATCTAACTTCAAACTGATAGCCCAACAATTTGGCAAGCCAACATTGTTGATCAGGAGAGGAGATTCTCTGCTGTAGAAAATGCTTCAGGCTCTTGTGATCTGTATAAACAACGAACTCCCTGCCCAACAAGTAATGTCTCCAATGTTGAATGCATAAGACTAAGGCCATTAATTCCTTCTCGTATACCGGTTTTGCCAAATTCCCCTCAGATAATGCCTTGCTGAAGAATCATTTTTAGTCATAACTCAAAATTTGGAAGCATCTAGACAGGAGATGTCATAATTCTCTTCATGTCATTGAAAGCCTTAGTGGCCTCCATTCCCAATTAAAATTATCCTTCTTAGTCAATTCCATGAGGGGTTTTGCCACCTTGACATAGTTCTTGACAAATTTTCTGTAGTATCCCGTGAGACCTAAAAATCCGCGCACTCCCTTCACATTTTTTGGTTCAGGCCAATCAAGGATACACCTCACCTTCTCCGGATCTACTGGAACTCCATCTCCTGAAATTATATGTCCAAGATAGTCAATCTGAGTACAGCCAAACTTGCACTTTGATTGATTTGCCACAAAGCAATGGGCTGCTAGACTCGATAATACCAACCTCAAATGTTGTCGGTGTTCTTTAATGTCCTTGCTATATACTAGGATGTCATCGAAGAAAACCAAAACAAATTTCCTCGAATATGGTCTAAAAAGATCATTCACGGTGGCTTGGAAAGTAGCTGGGGCATTCATCAGTCCAAAGGGCATGACTAAGTATTCGTAGTGACCATTGTGAGTTCTAAAAGCTGTTTTCGGAACGTCACTCTCAAGTACCCTAATTTGGTGGTACCCCGATTTTAAATCGATCTTGGAAAACATAGTAGCCCCATACAACTCATCTAACAACTCATCTACTATGGGAATGGGATACTTATCTGGTACTGTAGCTTTGTTGAGAGCCCTATAATCCACACACATCCTCCAGCTCTTGTCCTTCTTTTTTACCAATATCACGGGGCTAGAGTAAGCACTCATGCTAGGTCTGATGATTCCTGCCTTCAACAATTCACCCACTTGCTTCTCAATCTCTTCTTTTTGATGATGAGGATATCTATATGGTCTAACGTTGATAGGGCCATGTTTTGGATACAATTGAATCCGATGCACCTGAGTCCTCTCAGGAGGTAGTTGAATCTGGTCTTTAAACACCTCAGGAAACTCCTTCAATACATCATTCAATCCATGTGATACCGTAGAATCCTCTGCTTCTATTGCCTGAAACCGTGACCACCACCAATCTGTTCCTGCCCTGTTGTGAGTGTCTTCTAGGAAAGTGTTCAGATACCACTGCCTCACATTCCTACTTCCCCCTAACTCCAACACCAAAGCATCAATAATAATCTCTATCTCTCCCAACTTCATATTAACCCCTTTGCACACCCTTTTTGTAATGACCCTGTGACCATCACCCAACTTAATATTTTTTGCAGCTACAGGAGTGACAGTGAGACCTAGAGCAGTGGTTACTTTGAGCGAAATGAAATTATGACTTGCCCCACTATCAATCAACACCAACAAATCTACGTTCTCAATTTTACCTTCAACCTTCATAGTATGGTGCTCACCCATACTCCCCAGGACTCCCATCAACTTACATTCAACTTAGGTTTCCTCTTCATTTTCCTCTGCCACCTCTTCCATCGCCACGATTTCCCCTTCCTCGTTCATCTCTTCTCCCTCCCCCAAAATCAGAACCCGCAAGGTTCGCTCAGGGCACTTGTGTTGGGTAGCATGATACCTACCTCCACACTTGAAGCATAACCCCTTAGCCCTTCTTTCCGCCATCTCATCGTTGTGCAAGCTTCGTACCCCCTTCCATCTCTCCGACGACCCAGAACGGTGGTCGTTCTCACTTTTGCGAGTCGTTGATGCGAATGACGAAGTGTGATTTGTATTAGATCCGCTGGAATCCGTTTTCTGCCTCGGGTTTGACCCACCCGCGATTAAGGAGCGGTTTAGGTAATTGGGCATGTTTCTATTTTTGAATGACCCAGCCCAATCATTTCGGCCCAAACGTTCATACCCCCCTTCTTTCCACTACGACGCTCGTCATCGTCATCTTCCTCCTTCAATTCGTCTTCCACGTCTTTCGCAACCCTCATCATCTGCATACGATTTTGAGGATTCAAGGTTCGAACTCTCCTCCTGATCTGCGGTTTCAGACCACTCATGAAATATCCCAGGTATTGTTCTTCCGGGAGTCTTCCCACCTGCGATGACAACAACTCGAATGCTTCCACAAACTCTTCCACACTTCCCTTCTGTCTAAGAGTAGACAATTCTTCAAAAGGATTCTCCAACCGTCTTCCTCCGTATCGTGCGATAAGCGCCCGTTTCAACTTCTCCCATGATAACTCGTCTTCTGTTTCCATCAAAAGGTTGAACCAATGGATGGTTGCACCTTCCATGCTTAAACACGCTAATTTCACACACATCTCCTCCGATGTATTTTGCACATCAAAATAGATCTCAGCACACATGATCCACGCCACCGAGTCGTCACCTTCAAACAACGGCAATTTCACCTTCTTTCCTGCAAGGCGAGACTCACTATGAGATGAGTCACCCACAGAGTTCTCCTCTTGAGTAACCACCTTCTTTCCCACCTGTTTACTCAGCCCCGTCATAATCAAGCTCTGTTGCTGCATTTGCAACGCAAGCTCTTGTAACGCAAGCTCTTGCAACGCCGTCTCTATATTCCCAACCTGTGTCTCCAACGCTTATATACGATCACCCATCTTAGGCTTCCTTGGCATCTACAACCTTCAATGGCGGTGTAAATCGGATCCGGTAGGTCGGACCAATTGATAGGGTACTATAGCAGATTATATGATATTGTGAAAGAAATGGCAAGAGAGAATAAAAGCAATGCAATTGTATTCAATCAAGGAGTCACAATTACATGTAAATGAGAAAGAAAAACGATGCAACAAACTGATAGTGGAATACCAGCCCTAAGAAGCACGCATGCCTCTTCCCAAATCACCTAGAGGTGACCCCACAAAATCATAACAAAATTCTTAGCTGCCTTCTCTCCACCTCCACTCACTCCTAATATATCATTTTCTCATGCTACTCATACATTCTTAACCACGTCACGTCATCATTCCCCTTTCCTTTTGTCTTTTTCCTCGTATAAACCTTCCACGCCCTTGGCCTAGGCCCATACTCAAAGCCCACACTATTCACCATGTTTCTATCAAAAGGGAAGTGTCAAGCAAGAGAATCTGCTACAGTTAAGACAAATATGGTAGAAAGGAATCAGCAAGCTTACATTTGCTAATGCATTCAGTTTGTCTGAACCACGGGAATTTTCCTTTCTTGAATTCCAAACCAATGTAACCTGAACCTTTCCTGAAAGTTATGATTTTAAATTAAATAATGATTAATTTAATTCCATTAACTAAAATAAAATATCCAATACATTTTTTCCACATATTTCACGAGTCAGAGCAAAAAACTAACCATTCATATATCTTTGTGCAGCAGGAAGAGATGTGTTGTGTGTTGTCACAGCCATCTGTAAAAACAAACCCACCATCAGTAATTATCTCAATTTCAAAACTCGATAGTTAACTGCACGTATCATCTAGGCATTCAACTTCTTATAAATGGTTCACCTGAACATATCGCAATTCACCAGTGCCTTCATCTTCGAGATATGGATCAACATCTAATTCAGTAATACCTAGATAATACGGAGGAAAAGCTAAATAAATATGAGAAATTGAAGATAAAAATATAATAAACACACAGGTAAGGGGTAATGCTAACATGTGCTCTTAAATAAAGTAATTTTATCTTGAAAACTGTGTAGTGAATGAATTACAAACATATAATTAATTATTTTTAATTATTTTTTCAAGACAAACTTTTTAATTGAAGGTTTTTTAACATGTGCCCTAAGGGCACGTGTTAGCATTACCCTAACAAAAAATAAAATACCTTGTCTAAGCAGCTCCACAGCAGCATTAATATTAGGATGATGAGCTGCAATATTAATTAATATAGTTTCATGTCAACCAAGGAAAATATCAATGAAAAAGACACAATGCAATGGTAGAAAAGTACAGTGTGTTTGAAACAAACTAAATAAGATAAGTTCACTTCATACAGAATTTGTTAGGACGGAAAAATTCAACTGAAAAGAATGAATTGTTTTGTTTTAAGGTTGAGAAAGTATAAAAGAGAATAGAAGAGAAACCTCTCTTTCAAGGATTTCCCCTTCCCAATAGAGTCACTACTCTATTCACAAATGATTACAATTTACAATAGTCAATGATCATCTCTATATGTGTATTCTCCTATTTATACAAATATCCCTAAAACAACCTTAACTAACTAACTAACTACTCTAACAACTTTTAACTATTTTAACAACTCTGGTAAGCCACTATTATATATCCTTACAGAATTATACTCATGATATTGATAGTGATCAAATATGTATTATTTTCGTAACCCCGTGCTTATTCTGTTTTATAATGAAACAAATATTTAAAACCAATTTGAATTATCTTCTAGCTTAAGAAATTTCTCAACTAAAATGAGTATTTAGTTCTATATTTACCAAAGGAATAAAAGAAATAAGCATATGGATTATTAGTTGAGATATTATCTTGTAGCTTAAGAAATTTCTTAACTAAAATAAGTGTTTAGTTCTAACTTTATTAGAGGATTAAAAGATAGAACTATAAGCACCTAGGTAACTAGGTTATTAGATGAGATACAAAGCAGTTACAACTAGTTACAACTTTGTTGTATAAGCAGTTTTAGCTCTCTGCCTTTCTATTCATTATTCATTAGGTTGTATTTAAATAATTGATTATAAGGATGTTAGTAAAAGACCTTCTCAAGAAGTTGAGATAACACAATATATTATTTAAAAAACTTATAATTAATACAAGATAATTTAAAATTTTATTGTCCCATAAAGAGTTGCTGAAAAGTTCATAGAACTTAATATCATGTTAAGTTATGAAAGATGGATTTTAGGGAGTTAAATGTGTAACACCTTGAGCTCTAAGCAAGAGCAACAATGAGCAGAGAACAAGAAACAAATAGAGAGATGGATAGAAGTGAGAGAATAATTTCTTTAAATGGTGATGATCATATTTCCATTAGCCACACGTCCTAGTCGGTTGCTAAGTTGTTACAACAATTCAGAAAATACATCAAAGAAATATTCTAATGCCGCCTCATCTTGTAAGAAGCAAAAGGTGTGGTCACACAGATCAGGTGAGCTCAGCTATAATAAGGTACGTCAAATTCTTGAATGGCAACATATAAAATGAAATTAGGCAACAAAATGCAAAACATAGAATAATAAAATGCAAACTTAGGGTATTATTAGTATATCATTACAGTAATTAAACACTATATTATAATTTATAATTAGTGTTCTAATCTAATATATATACCAAAGGGAGTAAAAAGTATATAATGAAACTCTGAACCTTTGCATTGTGGAATGTCAACTACATTATGAGTACCCTCCTCATAGAGTCCAATGAGAGGGTTGGTTGAAGAACCACGCACTGCCAATTTCGCACGACACCTCCAACCCCACTGCAAAAAGAATCGCAAACAATCAAAATCAAATCAATTTTAGTTTAAGTGTGTTTAGTCTTGAAGTGACAAAAATTGATTTTTTTTTACAGACAATGTTAGTATTTTCTACTTCATCAAGGTTTGCATTATGATCCTTTAACTTGTTCAACTTCTTTAACCCTAGGCTCAAATGTGAGGCTAAAGACAAAAGCTCTCAATTAAATCTTCAAATTAAAATCAAATTTTGAAGTAAAATCAATTGTAAGGACATTTAAACATATAGAACAATTTTACGCTCATGAACCAGTTTAACCTCCGTCAAAAGTTGAACCAATCATACACTTAAATGTTTCAAGAAAACCTGTATCAAACACCAAAACTTCACATCAAAGACGTGTATGAGCGCCAATACACGACACTGACACTTGTCATTACATACAACTACTTCTATTTTTTCAAATTATTATCCCTATATGAGTTAGTAGTTCATAGAAAAAAAGGTTAAAAATATGAAATCAATCAAATTGAACTAGTGAATTTAGAAGAAGAATGAATGAAGATACCAAATTGCAAGTATCGAATGTGAAGTCCGTGACACCATATTTCCGAAAGAAATTGGTAGCGTCCTCCAAAATTACAGGACGGTGTAGGTTAAGCTCGTGCGTGCACCCCGAACACCTGAAATTAATTATCAAAAATTTAAAACAAAAAAAAAGTAAAAATTCATGAGCGAGAAGAGGACAATAATTCGTTTGAGTGGAGAGGGTGAAGCGTACGATTGGAAATGGGGGCAATGAAGTGCGCATGTTAGTGGCGGGGGCTGTGGAGTTGAAGAAATAGGGGTTGCAGTTGAGATTTGAGGAGGAGGAGGAGTGGCGGTGGCGTGACAGGTGAAGCGATGGAAAGACGGCGGTGGTGATATGAGTCGGAGAGGCATTTTCCGGTTTAGAGTTTGGAGGCGGGAATGGATAACAGAGTATAGTAACAAAAGGTTCGAAAAGATAGTATTATCCAAAAAATACTTTATATTATAAAACTATAAAAATTTAAGTAGGAAACTCTTCTGATCAAAGTTTAAACTAATTTAATACTATGGGCAAAACAGGTTTATTGTGCTAATATTGGTATTTAGATGCATTTGACCATTAATACGGCTGAGGTATCATATCATCATTTTTTTTCTATATTTTTTATTTATTTTTATCTCAGATAATTAGTGAATGGTGTGGGCCATTGAAAATTATTTCTTGCAGACCATTCTAAAAATACGTGTATACTCGTTCACAAGAAAATTGAAAAGTCATTTATCTTTCATAATACACACAATTTCTCATATAAAACTCATTATTGCATCCTTTCAATTTTTTATGTTTATTTTCTTCTATAAAAGTTTTCATTATTGCACACCTTTATATTTTCTTCTTCTTTCTGATCTGGCATTTTCCACCTCTTCTAAAACATTAAACCACTGTAGACCAACTGTGTAACATCAACAATATAAATATTTCATCATCTACTAAATACAACAACGTACATCGACAATGATAGAAGGGATATCGCAATAATAAAAGTTTTGGCTAAGTTTTAGATCAGAATCATAGCACTAATCGGAGGGAGATCGCCATATTTATACATTATTGATATGATTTCAACACTAAACTCCCATATATGGACCAAAAATCAATCAGAATGCAAGGATTCTTCTCCTCTCCTTGCCGCGAAGAAAGCCAACAAAAAGGGTAACAAAATCAATTAGCAAAAGTTCCAATCGAGAAACTTACTGTAACAGAAATTATGGAATATATTTGTTTTCTAAAAAATATCAGAATGCAAAGTGTATGGTATTCTAAACTAAATGTGTTTTCTGTAATAGTTCCACAATCCAAGAGTTTTAGGTTGAAAACGTGTAAAATGTTATTTATCGTGTAAATCATAAATAAAAAAATTGGTTCTTGATGTGGCTGATTTCTTTTCAGATTTGTTCTTTCAAGATTTGGTTGATTTCTTGATTCATATTTGGTTGATTTCTTGATTCAGATTCTGGAATATCATTTGAAAACATTTGGTTAATTTGGTTATTGATTCTTGATTCTTCTTTCAAACAAATATGTTCATAATTTTTATAGTTGTTTTTGTTGTAATATATTGGCCCGATTGTTTCTGCATTTTGACACGGATCAAGCCATTTAGTGCTTCTGATGCATAGAGATCTCAATCTGGAGAATTTTTTGTTTATGAATAAGAAGGAAACATCGGCTTTGAAAGCTATAGATTTTAGATTGTCAGTGTTTTCTAAACCAGGAAGGGATTTTGGATGCTGATTAAGGTTGCAATGTTGTTTGATTTTTTATTTTCATGGGTTTGCAATTGGCTTAATGTTTGTTTTTTTATGCAGGTGAAAGATTTAATGAGATAGTTTGAAGTCCATATTATATGGCTCCTGAGGTATTGAAGATAAATTATGGCTCGGAAGTAGATATCTGGAATGCTGGAGTTATTCTATATATCTTACTTTGTGTATCTGTAGTGCTGGAGCTTTTCTATTTGGTTGATCTGATATTCTAAAAAATTTTCTCTTCCTCTTCACATCAGAAGCACTATATATTATTTTCACGAGTTTTCCATGTTTATTGTACAACTAATTTTTCTTGTGTGAACAGATTATTACTGACCATTTTATAGGAAACAAAATGCAAATGATTCTAACATATTCATGATTTATAATGTAAGTACACTTAGAAATCAAAGCAAATATTTGAGTCAATAGGTAGTTAAAACTATAATCATACTGTTAATTGATTTGTGAATCTGCTTATTAAAAATCGAGTTCGTCATTTTCAAAAGATACTTATTTCTTACTCATTTGTCTTCAATATTGTTACAAAATTTGTTCGGTAATATATGCTGATTACCAATGAAAATTGGTATTGACGTGGATCTTGATGGCTATGATGATCAGGTGTTAGCAACCATTTGTAACTTTTGCATTTGATCAATTGTTGTGGGAATGGTGGTCGAGATTATTGTCATGTATCTGATTTAACACCGCAACTATAAGAATAGCATCGACAATCCTTTGTTTCTCCTCTAAATCAGGCTGTGACATCGGTAACGAACTAATCCATCTTAAAGGTAGTAAAGTTGCGACGAATTGTATGAGAATTTCAATTGTCAAGCCTGAGTAATCATCAAATGTAATACCGAGCAAAGAGTCTAATTCAACAAAAGCCATTGACTATTGACAATAGGATCAAAGATGATGCAAGAAAATAAGTGAGTGATCCTTCACAATCCTTTGAACATAAGCTTGAAAATATTATATTTCCTTATTTTGGCTCCCTGGATTTCTTGAAGTCATCTATACCTATAATGTTTAAAACATTGGACACTGATACATATATATTTGCTACAACTTAAAGACCTTGCAAATTTTCATATCTTCCTCTTTAAATATTTTTTATTTGAAGGTTTATAATATTGTTATGTAAATGACATTTACATCTTACACGGTTTTATCTGCTTCCGTGGTAAACCCCTATATGTTGAAACTGACTGAAGATATCGTGATACTTTTCCTGTTTACCTCTTTTGATTTTTTGAAAACTACAAAATTTATTATAGTTGTAGATAAAAAGGTCGAAGATATATGCATTTTGAGGGATTGAAAGCATCTAAATAATAAATTTATATATTTTTAGGTTTGGAAAAATAAGCTAATAAATTTTTAGAATTAACTCATTTGAATTTAACTGGGGTTTGTTAACTCATTTGCATTCACAGGTAGATGTGAACGTATCTATGATATCAGCTATAGACTGTTCATTTGAATGTTCATCTCTAAATTTTGTTGTTGTTGTTTATATAATTGAAGTTAGAGAATCGGGTCTACGATTTATTATAAGTACGAATGAATGTTTAAAAGTTTGTGCATATTATTAACCTATATTTATAACCATATGAATGTTAACCAATTGAAAAATGAATTCATACTTTATAAATGATTGTCTGAAAGACGTGTAATGTGAACTGAGACGGGACCCGTGCGATAGCACGAGTTTCTTACTAGTTTAAAATTAAAATGTTTTCTATACTGCTATACATCTATTTATTGTCTAGCCTCTATGTTTGAAAGTGTGATTCCGAGTGTCAATAATACTTGGACAATTCTCATATCTCTCGAAGTTTTGGATTATTATTATTAGGGTTCTAGAGTGCGAAAGTAAAGAAAGTGTGATTAATTTATTTCTTTAAATGATTAATTTAATTTACATTATGAAAATTTAAAATAATTTTAAAATATTATTAATTAATATAATTGAGTTAATGTTAAAAAAATTAATTATTATGCATTATCAGTATAAAACACTGTATCACAATCATCTATAAATATTACTTTATAATTAATTAAAATTGAATTAATTAATTATTCAATCATTTTTATACGTAATTATTTAATCACCTCTTTAAAAAAAATTAAGACGTTGTGATAATAACCACTAAAAACTCATATACAACCATACATTTCTCTAATGACTTATCAAATACAGAGAAAAATAATTATATGATACACAACAAGAAAATCTTTAATTAGTTATGGCAAATACAAGTAGCTAATTTCTATCAAACAAAATTAATTGGAGATTTATTGGAAATTAACTATAATACATGGTGTAGCATGGATTGAGTGGCTAATTATGTTGGCAAAACTTTCCTAGCAAAGTTTCAACTAATATTAAAGGTAAAATATCCTTTTTAGTTCCTTAACTTTACCTCTGGGTCCATTCTGGTCCTTTATCTTTAAAAAGTTTCAAAGTGGTCCTTTAATTGTTCAAAAAGGACCACAGTAGTCCTTTCCGTCCAAAAGACATAAACGAACGTTTGTTTTGTATGCGTGGCAGCTGATGTGAAATGTTATGTCATCTTCTTTGTTCTCTTCAAGTCTGCATCGCCCATTTCTTTCTTTTCTACCCCAGACTCCTCCAAATTCCAGGATTCGACAATTTTCTTCCTCTTATGATTCTGTAATTGCTTGGGGGAAATGAAGCAATCATCATTAGCGTACTTAGGTCAGTGTTCATACGATTCGAAGGTCAACAACGGTGGATGTTTAGACGGAAATTTGTGATGGGAACCCATATGCGGCTATGGAGATACGGATGTTCTTCGGAGGGCTTCAACTCACACGAATTTTGGGAAACAATTCTGGGGATATCGTCATTATAAGGTAAGAAAAAAATTAAATGGCTTATTCATATTATTTTTTCTGATCTATCCAAATTTGGAATGACACAAGGTTCATCTAAAATTGGATGTGGATACTTTCAATGGTTCTATAATGATGTTGTGGATAAGAAAAAGCAGTTTATAAAGAAGCAAAATAGTAGATTGGAGACGCTTCAAAATGACCTTGATGTAGCAAAAGTAGAGATATTGTCTTTAAAGGAACAAAAGGATGGACTGAAACAAAAGATAAGGGGGGTACAAATTGAAATGAAGAAAATGATGAATTCCGAGAAAAAAAATGGAAAAGAATGTTTTGTATGTTGTTAATTTTTGTCATTTGGGTGATGTTGTAAATTCCAGTATTGTTTGTAATATCATTTGAAAAGAAGATGATGTTGTTAATTGATGAATTTGTATGTTTTATTTGTAACATTTTGTAATGAATTTTGGAACTGGTGTAAATTCTAGTATGCAACTGTATGAATTTTGGAATTGTATGAAACTGGTGTAATTTTGGAACTGTATTTTTGATGAATTTTGTAAATTCTAGTAACTGGTGTAACATTTTGAATGAAATCATAGCATAACATATAAAATCAACTGAATGAAGTCAACAACAATACATAAGGTGGTGGATACCACTAATATTCATAATTTTCATGTTCAAAAAACCTGATATTACAGGTCCAAAAACACTACTATTACATATCTAAAAACCATACTTTACATGTCCAAGAAACCTGATATGACAGGTCCAAAACAACACTAGACAGTACATGTTCAAAATACTTTAAAATAACTTAACTAAAGTTAACATAACCTAACATAACTATTACAGTAAAGACATTAATCTAAGCTTTCCATTTTGTTGCAGCTCTCTTAATAGGTGTCGTCCTTCTTGTTGTTGGATCTACAACAGTTTTAGATGCATTCAACCTAGTTATTGGGCCGGGTGGGACAAAAGGTGCGAATTCCTTAAGCACCCCCCATTTCTGTTTGTTTTCTAATTTGGGCCCCCTTAAAACCCCCTTTGGCCCATATAATTACTTGTCCACCCTTTTTTTCTTTGATACATCTTTTTATATTTTGATTTCCTTTGCCTTTTTTTTTAGAATTATTATTAATTTAGTTGATTAGTAAAATCTAATAAAAAGAGAGATATAATTTAATTAAATAATTTTAAATAGTTTGATCATTTTTATTAGTTTAACTTTAGAATTAATTTAGAAATTTTAATATTATTTTCATTAGATTTAAGTTAATAGTTTTTTTTTTTAAAGTTTTAATTTAGTTTAGAATTATTTAATAATTCTCAAATAATACCTTTATTAATATTAAAAAAACATATAAAAACAAAACATATAAAAAATTAGAAACTTAAGAAACATTTTGTTTTCTTTAATTATTTCTCTCGCTTTAGTTAATATTAATACAAAAATACATAAAAAATAGAAATTAAAACATTTTATTTTCTTTATTTAATTCTCTTGCTTTGTCCATATTAAAAATTATAAAAAAATGCATGTTCACATCCTTTAGTTTATTATTTAATCATTATTATGGTTATGTATCATTATCTGCATAATTTTCTGTTTAATTATTTTTATATTTATATGGTTATTCCGTTTACGTCTAAATCCAAGGGAAAAATGATTAAATTTGTTGACTTCATGTCCTCAAATCTGATCACGCGAACATCTGCATTCCATTA